TGACATAATATGTAAATAAAATAAATTAAACAATAGAGGATAATTATTTTTTTATTGTGTAATTTAAAATTATTAAAAAAAAACTATATCATATTATACAATTATCAATTATAGTTATAATCATTAATAATTTTTTATAATCAAACTAAATAGAATTTACTTTAATACTTTTTTTAAAAAAATTTAAGGAATTTTTGAGGATGAGAAGAAGTGCATAAATATTAAATTCAAAACTTCACATCATAGCATTTTCTATTAAGAGAGTGGTCATTAAACTACCAAGTGTCACACTCCTTTAATACTTATTATGAGTATATTTCACTATCAAATGAAAACACTTGTTTAATATTTGAAAAAGACAAATGAGGTGGTAATAGTATAGGGATGTTTTGGTATAACCCTTAAAATTAAAAGTTAATAATTTTATTATCTAATTTGATAATTAATAAGTATTATTAATAAATAATTTTATTTATTAAATCAAATAAAATTACTTATCTCTAATTTTAAATTAAATTATTATATCAAACCGTCGCTATTAATTTTTAATGTAATCGCCAATTGGTGATGTAATAAAAAATAGAAAAGCACTGCAAATTTTTTTGGGATCACCAAAATTCCTCCCTTTCTTTTTTAATTTTCCCACTGATCAAACAAACCCTCTTTTCCTCTTTAACTAAAGCTGCTCATCTATTTACCCAAAAAAACACAAAAAGCTGCTACTACCCAAATATGTCAAAGAACAGTTGATTGTCTCTCCCTTTTCTTTTCTTGTTTTTTTTTTTTTTTAAATCAGTCAAAACTTAAAAATTATTGTATATTAACAGGAATAGAAAGAAAAGTTGATATTAAATCTTACATGGGCGCTTAAGTAGAAGCCAGAATAACCAGCCACACGTGGAGGTGGTACAGGCGTTAAGCGATGAGTGGTGGCGACTGGTGCCAGGTAATCAAGGCAAGAGGAATCAAAGGAAGCGAAAATTGCCGAAACGTGTGCATCTGTAACGTGTAAAGTACATGTCTGGTATACACCGTCATAATATTTAAGAACTTAAATTTTTATTTTAAATTTTTTTTAAGTCAAAAATTTATTTTATTGGGTAAGAGGAATACTTCAATCTAAAAACATTCATTTGGTTTACAATGATATAACTCCTTTTAACTTAAAACAAGTTTAAATTTTAAAAATTTTGAGTTTAAGAATAATAAAATAAAACAAGTTTAGCGAAAAAAGAAAAGAACCATTTTTTTGTAGACATTCAAATTAAATCATCCATCATATGCCACTTATTAAAGCATTGAGAGATTCAATCACATACGCAACACACGATAAAAGGATTTTTTAATAATAAGTTGAGATCTAATTACATGAGTATTTAACTAAATTAAAATTATATTTTAGTAAATGTAAGCTTATAATTAGGTTCTCCTTTTAAGGTTTTTTTTGGACAGCTAGTATAGAAGTTTGCAGGTTCTCTCCTAATTAATTAATCAATTATTTTTTACCAACATAACAAATTATATACAAGTAGAAGAAAACAAACCTGACAACCTAAAATCTTTCCGGCCTAATATTTCTCAATTATTTTTCTAACTGCCGAATAATTGAGAGAGATAAATACAAGGAGAAAGAACAAAAGTTGAGGCTCAAGTCACTCTTCCATGGAGACACAAACCAAGGTTCTGGGGTTTCCCTGTCCCCTTGTGCATCCTCAAGTATGGACAGTTATAAAGATGGTTCAACCAATGATCGAGTAGTTTGCGATCAATATTTGGCTTCAAAAATATATTAACCCTAACCCACAAAATTTGGTCTGCAATGTGAGGGCACATAATTAATTTTGTTGTTACATCTTAGTGTAGCAGTTTTCTTGTTAATAATAGGTACGTGACAGTAGTTATGCATGGTTGGTGAGGAGCAGGTATGCATACCTTTGCCCACGGATTGGTGATTTTGAGCAGATGATAGCTACAGTTCGTTTTTATTACAGATTGAGGGGGATGCTTCATTAACGTCGACGTCTAACTAAGAATGGGTCATCTGTATTAAATGCTTTTTACTGAAAAAAGATAAAAGACAGCGCTTATGCTACTAATATATATATCTCATGTTTTTAACCAATAGGTTGGTTCAAGTGGTAATGATGAATTGAGAATTATTGTTCTTGAAAACACATATTTGAGTTCCTCTATTTTCATTTAAATGTGAACAATTTTAATTAATCATATGTTCATCACCTTTGATGGTAGAGTTTTACCCAATACTTATGAATGGGGCAATTCACAGGCAACTATAAGATCATTAGTAAAGTCAAAAGCCCAAATACTCTTGTTATTCAAAAAATATATCACTATTATAAAATAAGAGATTTGAGTAGGATAGAAGTAAGAATATATATATAATAGACAAAGTAAGATAACAAGATAAAAAGAGAAGAGAAAGTATGGCGAATAGCAATACTTTACAAGTATGTTTTCTATTTTGAAAATAGTGCCTATCAGCCTTATTTCTTAAAAATTAGGAAGAAAATTATTCTAAAATTACGTCGTTTTAATAAATTTTTATTGAAAAAAATAAATTATTCTATTTTTAAAGCATGCATTAAGGTGATTTTTGTCATTTTTCTTCTTAATTTTTGGTAGATAAGACGAACAAGCATTGATCCCTTTAATTTTTTTATTTTTTTTATATATATTTTTCATACAAAGTTGTAAGTGTATGTATAAACTAAAAATACATGAGGATTACATTGATTTTTCAATAGGACTAAATATGATTATAAATAAAGTTTAAGTGGAGTTATGAATCACGTTAATAGAAGTCATGAATGAAGCATAATCATGGTTTTTTTTTTTTTTAACCTTTCAAGAAATTAAAAGAGCATGTACTTTAGTTATTAATTTCATTGGCTGGCACCCGCAGCCCTTGAGACTTGAAAAGCATTTATTGAAACTCGATAGTTTGTTTTACTGTAAGGAATCTTAACTTTTTAAGAAGTAGTAGGACTGAACTATATGTAAAGGCTTTCTTAATTAAAAAGAAAATTAACGGACTTTCATTTCGTTTTATTCAAAGGTTGCTCTCCATATATGGTGCTTTTGTTCTGTCCCTCTCTAGTTTTTTTATTTTCGATGAATCAAATAGATAAAGGGTTATATTTAATTAGGCCAATTTATACACATTTTATTAAATAACTTCATCTTCCAAAGAAAAAAAAAAAAAACCCTCATCAATCGGATTGTTATATCATTCCCATTGTGTTAAGAGTTTACAGAACCAAAAAGTACTAAACTAAATTTATCTCTCATCAAGTTTTATTTTTACATTTTTTTTTTGGATTACACAATAAAAAATAATTTTTTCTTATCTCTAAACCCACTTAATTTGTATATCATGTAATTCAAATTCAAAATTTCTTATTAAGAAAGAGATTATTATTAGATTACTTAAGCCATACACTTTTATCTCTCATCATGTTAATTACTACTGAATTTCTTGACCTGATTAATTTCGGAGCAAAAACAAGGTTCTTCACCCATTGTGCATATTCAAACTCATTCTCCTCTTCCCCACTCCCTCCCTCCATGGGTCCCAAACTGTTAGACTGTCTCATAATAAAAGGGTTTAATTTATAAGGAATTACTCTTATTATATATATGGTAGAATCTTCAAATCTATACCTCAAATAGGAGAGTAGAAACAAATTTACTCCTTCAAATTATCAATTAAGACAAATTGTTTATTATTTAACATATGACATCATATGATATTATCACATATCATATATTCATTCGTCACTTAAACATTTTTTAACAAAAGATTGACATGTGATGCCGTCACATGTTAAATAATGAGTAATTTGTTTTGATTGATAATTGAAAAGATAATTGAAGAGACAATTCATCTTTATTTCTTTTTAAAGACACATTTGTTCCTATCCTCTTATTTGAGGGTGAATTTGAGAGTTTCATCATTATATATAACCCCCTTCAAGAATCAAATATTGATTACCATAGTTGAAATCAATCCTTTTTCTTTTTCGATGGGTACTTAAAATGAATGGGTTGTATGCAAAAAATATATATAAATATTTAGTTTAATCTTTCTTTTTCCTTCCCTTCATTTTGGGTTAACACAAGTACTACTATCATGTTTAGGGTTTTGTCAACGGTTGAATGGGTGGGTGGTACCACAGCCACTAGATCTCATCATTATTGTCAACTTCCCCACTTCACCAACCATTTGAAATGGATCGAATTGCATAAAGTTTTTCCATCTAATTAATTCTATATAAAAAAGATAAAGAATTATAGTTAATCTATCAAAAAAGATCTTAAATCTTGATTAGATCGTTAATTATTAATTTAATTATCCCTTCGTGAAGCCATGTGAGAAAAGAAACAATACTAAAATTAATCAATGATAAACATCTTTTTTAAATCCAATCAATTCTTGGATTGCATGGCATGCATATTTTGCATTCAAGTTTATCAGTTTTTTTGTATATTAATTTTCTTTGGTTTGAAAGACGATAATTTGTTGGTTAGGTTTTACATATTTCGAAGCTAAATTTTTTAAACAAATATAAAGGTACACTCCCATATATATATATATATATATATTATATCAATATGGTACACTAAAAAAAAATTAAATTTTATTAAATATTAATTTTAAAACTCAAATTCTAAACTATTCTATAAAATAACACTCCTTTATCAATGTATCGATATTGATTTTTTTTCCTTGCAATTAATTAATGAGAAAGAACTGGTCCCCTTAACATATATATTACATTTTTAAACAGGGCAATTTAGAGCCTACAGAACTTTTGAACCTAGGATAGCCTTTTTCTTTTCCTACAGTCCAAGCTAAGTCTAAAATTGGGGCTTAAAGTTGTGTATATGGTAGTTTGGTTGAGTATTTATAAGTTATGATATAATTAGCATATCAAACTGTTATGATTTAGTGGTCCTCCCAAGGCTCACTTCCGGTCTTCCTCAGAAAATCTTTTATTATATATATATATGTTAACCGAGGCTGATACATGTACAAAGTACAACCTAATCAATCTCTTGAAGTTCATATCAAATTCTAAACCCTCAATAGGAAATCTCGAACTCAAAATTTGTTATCAAATGTCACTTTGAGGTTCTTGATACTTCTTCCAACCCATAAACTGAATCTATTCCTCCTCCTTTTTCCCTGTAATTGCCTTTGTTAAAAAAATAAAAAAATAAAAAGTCACTCTGAGGTAAAACTTTATAGATTAAGAGTAAATTTTCATTTAGATATAATTTTATAATGTGATTAAATACTATTCGTATTGATGTTGATAAAATAGTTTTTTAATTTTTTGGTACAAAATAATTTTTTTATCAATACAAAATGTAATAGTTATTTAATAATTAATATTTTAGTCAACTACCTAAATAACTGATCAGTGATCATTTCTTTTCGTTGAAAATAAGAGATGTTGAGTTTGAGTCGCATAATATGCAGGTGGAATAAGATAAGGGATAAAAAATGGTTACTTCCCATCTGTTATCCCAAAAAATCTCCTTGACACGTGGCAGATGAAATGGCGTGCCACTTGCTTTGCTCAAAACAAGAAAGATTTCTCCGACAACCCTCTCTTCTTTCCAAGCGTGGAACTCAGCTTATGAGTTGATGGAAGAACGTCGTAAATTGCACCTTAAAGATCAGAAGATTTGCAGAAACGAGGGATAAACTTCCTACACTAAATGGGTTATACGACAAAATGCCTTGGATATGATTCCAAGGACTCCTCAAAGCTAATGTAATCAAGAAAAGTTAGGACTGCAAGGTAATAAATTATCGCTAAACTACTAAAAATCTAAATGAACTTTAAATATGCAAACAGAATTGAAATAGAGCTTTTAAAAAGAAATTTAATTGCAGCAAAAGTAAATTAAGTTAAAATAAATAAAACCCGAAACATGAAAAATCTACTGGCAGCATGAAATGTAAATTAACGGAAATGAAACTGAACATGAAATTAAATGTCAACATCATTTGATTAAATTAAAGGAAATCTAGAAAACAAATAAAAAGGAAAGGAAGCAATCCAATTACAAAGAAATATTACTGAAGGCAGCGAAACTCACCATTACAAATTCGACAAAAGAAGAACCGAATTGCTAAACTAATCTAAGTTGAAGCGTAGAGCTAAAATTAAATTAAAAGGCTTGAAACTAAGATGAATCTGAGCATAAAGAGAAATTGTGCTGAGTTTGTTGTGTGAGATGTCGATCCTTTGCTTGATCTTATCATTAGGTATTTATAGCACCTTGGCAGCATGGTGGAGATCTGCGGCAGCATCCTGAAAGACCAACGGCAGCATAATATTTGCAACAAATTGATTAATTTGTTGGTACTGCGATTATCCTCCTGAAAGCTCGCAACAAAAGAACGGTTTTGCTGCCATTGTGGAAATAACCACTCAATCTCATCTGAAGAAATTCACACCAACTTTCAACTAATAAAATATCTGCCATCATGGGTGACATGTGGCAGCACTTCATTTGTTGTAAAATTAGGTGTAAACACCATCATGTAACCAAAATAAAAAAAAATTAATAGTAATTAATATTTTAAAATTAGTTAGTGTAAGTAGATTTTATTTGATATTTTTTTCATAAAGATTTGTATGTGAACGAAATGGGAGGCAGAGAAAATGAAAGTTATTTAGCTCAGGAAAGGGATTTATGTTTTTTTCCAAATACTTTAGACTACTGCTTATAACTCGTATGCCAGCCAAATTTGACATCAAGGGCTTAGAGGATCAAAGATTAGATCCTTTTGTCCACTACTTTCGAGACCATATTTGTATTTATCATTCTCCTTTTTCTTTCCCATTAACCTTCATTACCTTGATTTCTGATATTTATTTCAAAAGAAGAAAGAACTATCTCCATTACCATCACCTTTCTCGCCGGAAAAGTAGCAGAGAACCACCGGAAAACATCTTCTCCGGCGAGTAGCTTCAATATTGATTAAATTTAACAGTAGCCTTTTTTTACTACCAAATAATTATCCCTTATTGATCATGTAGAGTTATTTTGAAGCAAAATTAAGGACCCACAAAATGACAGCTAAAGCAAAAGCTCTTTCTTTCTCTTCATTGAAATGAATTATGGTAGAAAATCTGCCTTTGCTTTTTCACCTCATCTTAATCTATCACCTCTTTACCATTTTTTCCTTTCTCTTTACACAATGATCATGATCTTCCTTTCAACATAAGAGCAATGCTACTTGCATTCGGCCACCAACTGCGGGTGCACCGCGCTTATGATTGGCTAAGTGCACACTATTTATGAATAATTTTTCTTTAAAAAAAAAAAAAAGAAAAAAAGAAAAAGAAAAAGAAATTTGGCACTCAACCAATTAGAGATTTAGTGCACCGTCGGCCATTCCTCTTCTCAACATAATTTTCAATATTCACAAATCACTTTAAAGAAACAAAGAGAAAAATAAAAAACAAAAATCATCACCTCGCAGCCATCATTAGAAGTAATTTTCCGTGAATCTCTCTCTTAATTTCACAACAGATGACATGCTTTCAACTAAACTAATGTTACACCCAAAATAAAATTATCATTATTAACCGTACTATACCAAAGGAGAAATCTTATTCTTTGATGTAAACCCCCACACTATTAATTTAATTAATGAAAACTAAGTAAGATGATTTCCCCGAGCTTTCTTTTCTGGGAAAATTACATGATCAAACCATTAGCAATGGCTCGATTAGTATCGAGATGGGTTGTTTCATAAACTGGTAATTCTTCATGATACCTTTCGACACCAATAACTGACAGATTGTCCAATTCGAAAAGATCAGAACTTGCATAACTCGCAGCATCATCTTCATCTTCTTCATCGCTAGATTCTCCTTCGTTCACATTGTTGCTGAGTTTTCTCATGTCGAATTCCTCCTTTTTCTTCTGGTAGTTCTTCAGTAGATCCTTTGCAGCTTCCACAACTCGCCGGTTTTCTTCCATAATTCGTAATTCAAGGTCTCTGTTTCTGGAGTCTGTTACCGTACTCTGTTCTGTTTCATGGAGGCTTTTTCGTCCGCATGGCCTGCAATCCTCATCTATGATGATGCTGACGGGGTAGAATCGGACGGACCTCTTTGTACCGTTCCCCCTCGAAGAGGGTGTCTTGCTCAAGCAAGATCTCGAGAAGGAAGAAGCTGAGGAACATGTTGATGAAGACGGAGTCTTCCCCTCCTCGTACACAGGTGAAGAAATTTTCGCTTTTTTGGCGTTTCCGGCAGTGAAAAGAGAGTTCAGGAAACTCGCGAGGCGGCCACCGGGGGAAATTGGCTGCTTCACCTTCTTGAGATCGCTGTAAATCTTCAGGGCTTTCGATTTTGTCCTGTTAAAACCTCCCTCGTGCTTCGGCTTTTGTGTTTCGAATTGCGGAGGCACGTACCTCTCATTCCAGGCGGAGACGCTCGTCCGAATCGGTTTCGGCCTCTGAGCGGTGTAACCCGCCGTGTAACTCGACGACCTCGATTTCACACCGTAGAAAGAGTCCGACTCCGAGGAGGAAAACCCACCTCCGGAACTGGAATCCGAAGAGGTCGAACTCAAATTTAAGATACCAGCATCAAAATCCGCCATGGATTTGCGACGACCTGCCGCAACCTTCTCACTACTAACTTTCTTCCTCATGGTTTCCCTGTAGAAAATCACCTCCTCCTTTCCTTTTCCACCACTGGGTTCGTCAATGGAACGGTAAATTGCGTCAAGAAGAGTCGTAGAGAAAGATGGATTTTCTTTCCTGTCCCGACTCCGACCTTCCCCCAGCATCTTCTCCGGCCACACAGCCATGACTTTATAGACCAAGAAAAACAGAGGAAAATGAAACAGAAACAGGGGAAATTGAGAATTCAGATTTCAGAATGATTCTCCCTCTCTTTACTGTCTGCTTCAAAAGTACCAAAAGAGGAAGTTAACGGAGAAAAAAAAAAACATGATTAGGTGAAAGAATCAAGAACATTTCGAAGACATCGCCATTGATGAATTCTTGATGGGGTTTTTTTGTTTTGTAGAGAGAAAGAGAGAAAGAGAGAAGAGATAGTAATGAAAGCCAAAAGTCACGCCTGAGGAGGAGAGGAAAAGAGAGGAGGGAGGGTTTATAAGGTCACATACTGTTACGTGGATGTGACAGGTGGCATCAAGTGCCAGGTTGGAAAAGATGATGTGGCATTGGATGATTAATTTATAATATAATTGGATTTGGCTTTAATTAGCTTAGTGTTTATGCAATTTGAAGTGACACAAGAAGATCTTTGCTTTTGGTTGCAAAAGATAAAGAGAGGAAAAGGAAATTAATCTTAGCTCATTAATGTGCATGATTATATGTGAAGGAGATCTTGATCCCAGCAGCAAAGCTTAAATTCTCATGGGTCCATTAGCTTTCTCTGTTTTCCTAATTAATTATGTTAATTTTAGGGTCACATATAACTAACCGAGATCTCTTTTTAAGAAAAAATGATTGTTTTTAAGCTCCACTGGTTGCTTTAATTAGTTTAAAATTAAAAATTTTTTAAATTGAAGTGAGTATGAAAGAGTAAAAGAAGGAAAGCACTACCTTTTTTATACGTTTTAGTTAGGGATAAAATTGTAAATTTATAGTTAATAATACATATAATTTTATTAATAAACCATATAACTAATGATAATTTTATTTTTTATTATATAACTCATCGCCCTAAATGTGTCAAAAAAATTCTAACAATGAAGTTAAAATTGAAATGTTTCAAATAGAATGAGCTGTTTTTTACCCAACCATATGTTTTGTGTTGAAAGAAACCAGCTCTTTTTTCTTTTCTTTTTTTTTTTCTTTTTGCTTTTTTTTCTTTTTTTAGAAAAAGACATGAGCAACATTAAGAAGGCTTTGCTTATGACTGCCATTTAATCTGGTAAGGCCATTAAAATTATTAAATCTTTAATTTAATTTAATTATTAAAAATAATTAATACTAATTAATAAAATAGTTAATATGTACTATTTAAAATATTAAAATTAATTTATAGATAAATATTTTTAATATTATAACAGTTTTTCTAATAACACTTTTTTTGCTATAAATGTATATAAAAAAGTGTTAAAATTTACATTAATGATATTATACGTTTGGATGAGAGAAATGGAGAAGAGGAAAAGAGAGAGGATGAGGATTGTATCCTTCCATTCCATTCTCCTCCCCTCCTTTTCTTTTATTTAAATAAGTAATAAATTTTAAAAAATTTAAAATAAGGGAAAATTTTTGCCTTACCTCCCTTTCCCTCAATTTCCTTCAATTTAAACATATTATCAATGTTGGTGTTAAGTATATGAATTTAATTAAACAATTGATAAATTAAAAATCAATTTTTACATTTTCAATATAAATTTATGATAAAAATTGTATTTTATTATAATTTTTTTTTTTTGGTTTCCCATCCGATATTCGGGGCTTCGCCCCGACTACTCCGGACTCGACCAGCTGTGGCGCACCAGAATGGTGGGTGGGTCTCCCAACGAAAGCTGCTGCGTACACAAAGTTTCAAACTCGAGACTTTATTTAAGCTGGAACAAATCGCTTGCTACTTGATCCAACCCCTCGTTGGTATTTTATTATAATTTTAACTTATGTTCTAAAGTTACTAGTTAGAAAAATCTATACTATAACTAACTATTTATAAAAGGAAAACTATAAATTTATAAAAGTAATTGTCTTAATAAAATTTTTAGTGACAATAATCTCAACATGTTAAAAAAATAATAAAGCAAAATAATACTCACTATGAGACAACTTATTCATAGCTGCAAAAATTAAAAAATATGAAGAAATTTGTAAAGTTGAAAATATATTTTAGGTAAAGACAATAGGACCTTCGGGACCAAGACAATTTGGAACACCACAACCACTAAGGAGTGCAGTCAATTATGTTAGCAAAGGATTATTAATTCCATCCCACGAAAACAATGCCAATGTGTATTGCATCAACAGTCAACTAATGCGGCTCATTGGATTCTCTGACTTCTAACAAATTCAGACAATCTGATGAACGGCAATAAAGATGCTTGCCCTTGTACGTATTGTACACAAAATTTACCAAAACTCATTCAAATTTAAATCTTTCAAATTATCAAAGGTATTCCTGGAATGCACGGGCCCTTGAGGCCTAGTGGCATTAGCCACTGGTGCATTCTCTTTGGCAGGTTTAAAACTTGTTTCTTGTAAAAATATGTTTAAAAAAAAAAAAAAGGTATTCTTGGAATGGCACTGGTCCTTCGGGTTAATTGGTATTTTATCAATTTGAGATACATTTTTTTTTTATGGATAGGTTTTGAGCTCATTCTTTGACAATTTGTTCAAAAAAATAAAAGATATTCTTGAAATAAATTCAATCTCTCTAATTCAAATGATTTATCCTTAAACTTTAAGATATTTGAATTAATTGAATAAACTTTTAAATTCTATCGGTGTTTTGAAAAAATCTCCTATAAATAATTCAAAAATATATTTTTATTTGGAATGACTTCACATGATCTTCCAAAATCTTACCTAATTTTTTTTTTTTGAAAATAGGTAATGGAAAATCTTACCTAATTTTACCATGAATAACTTGTTTGGTCAACGAAGTGAAATTAATATGGTACGCAAAAGATATCCTCGTATAACAGAAATTGATATAAAGTTAGCAAATGTAATTAAGGGGGAAGAGGTAAGAGGAAAAGGTAAATATAGTTAGTAAAAAGATGGAATTTGGATTTGGAATGAAACTGTTGGGATTTAATGGGATTAAACTATGGAGGTGATGATAGGGGAAACCCCCCAATTACAGTAGCAAATCAGCACAAATAATTACATATGCAGGTGATAAGGTGAACAGGAAACGAAAAGGAAGGCAACTTATGATTACTATGATTTACTTAAAGATGAGATAAGATTTCCCTTAACTGGAGAACATGCTAGTACATAATTATGTGGTTGGCACATTAACATTGCCTTCATTTAACCAATCCACTAATTAAACACTCCATTTCTTTAGCAATCAATACCGTTCTTGTCAAAATTAATATATATTATAGGAATAATATTCATATATCTTACAATTAAGTTGTTTTAAATTTAAATACCTTATTCTCCTAAAATTATATCATTTAAAAATTCATTGATAACAAAAGGTCAATCAAAAATATTGTTTTATTGACAAAATAAAATTATATTGATAAAAAGTATAAGAAGTACTTTTACTCATTACTTATGAAGAAATAGAGAAGAACATACAGAAGAAACAAAGCACAGTCACAAACTTTGTTATGAAGACAACTCAAAGACCAATGCTAAGATAGATATAAAATAACAAAAAAAAGAAAAAAGAAAAAATCAACAACAACAACATTATTTTGAAAGTAATGGATTGGAAGATCTATGCACACACATAAACAATGTATGTAATTTCGAGGTGTTTAAACTTCTAAATTTTGAAAGTTAGAATTGAGATGTACCTTATATATATATATAGATATATATATTGATTAAGGATTTAGATTAATCAATAGATAGATTCTATATAAAGATATATGTGACATTCTGGCTAGTTAGCAAGACAAAAGGAAATTAAAGGAAATTAATCAATTAATTTAATACACAACTTTTGTTTGCTGCTATGTACATAATAGAGACCTAGTGTCGGCTAAACCTTTTGTTTGTTATATAGTATATACATGTGTGCTCTAGAGAGAAAGAAATGTGTTCCTTCTAAGTGGGTGGTGCTTATTTGCACAATCATTACACTCGTGGCTCCCAAACTTTATGAAGAGAGACTGTTTTCATATAAAGAGAGAATTGGAACAAAGGAATATTGTGTGTGTGAAGGAAAGAGAGGAAAGGAAGATTAGATTAGCTTGCAAAAAGAGAAGGGGGCCCAAGAAAAGCAAACGTGCGTGTGCATTCCTCATCTATATTCCCTTCAAGCCCACGAAAATTCTCAATTGATTACACCCTGTCCTTTGCATTGCATGTTTGTGTATATATAATATATACTTGGCACTTCACATCAATTTTTAGATAAATAATTTCATTCTCTTAATACCAATTAAAAAGTGGAAATGACTCGAACTTTATACTGTGTTTCTCAACAAGAGAATATTGGAATTGCTGTGTACTCATGATTGTGGCTACGAGAAAACAAAATGGCATTATAAATGCAATCCCATGAGGGGGAAAAAACTGGGGGAGAATAAATATTAAGATCAAAAGATAATGAAATTACAAAAAAGTATTTTTTAGTATGGACTGTATTTTTTTGTACAGTTTGAATACTAAATTCACCTAAATACCCTTAATGAAATATCCTTATAAACTTATTCATTAATGATATCTTTGTAATTTTAGTAATTAGACTGCACAAAAAAAGTGCAGTCCATATTGAAAAATAACTTTCTCATAAAATTATCAATGGGTATTTTTGTAGTTATATTAATATTTTTAGAAGTTAGAAATTATTGTGAGATATTTATAATATTTTTTTGGGAAAATAAAGGAATAAAAACAAAGCATATGTGAACATTTACCAAATGCTAAAAAATCCAAAAGCACTATGTGGTTGTGGGATAAAGTATTTCGAAAGTATATAATGTTAGCTATAGGTTCGCATGTTGAGTGAAAAGTGAAGTACGTGGTGTGCAAAAATCCCATGTAGAAAAGAAACAAATGAATGAATAGAGTATATATTTTAATTTTCATGAACATGATAGATATTGAAGATGATGTCTCAGTGGCATAACTAGAAATTCATCTGAAGGTAGCAAAATTTAAAGCTACTATAAGAAATAGTGGTTTTTCAGTATGGATTAGCAATGTTTCCTAATTGAATTGAAGTTATTATTATAGTCACTTAAATATAAGTATTTCTCTAATAATATTTTTGTATTTCTAATTCTGACGTAGAAATGACTAAAAATATAGGCCAAAATAGTGAATCAAGATACAATCCAAACAACAATTGTTAAAATAAGAAACAATTAAAGTAACAACTTATATATTATTACTCAATTAATCTTTATTTTTCTTATTTTTCTTATTTTTCATCTTTTTCAACTTTATAAAA